CATAATATATACTATACAAAATAATCAGTACATTACTTATGTTTTTAATATGATATGGCAATGGTTGGATTAAATGCATTTCAAGTTGTGAAACATGATGTGGTAATAAATATACATAATAAATAATTGGAAATAATTTATCCAAAATCCTAGTTCTATCTCGATATCATTATATCAAACCACGACTGAAGCATTACGTTTTCTTTGCTCGTCTGCGGTTCATCGTTTCATAGGCCTACATTTTCTTCTGGTTCAGTCACGTCACAGCTCTCCTGCATCCAGTCTGGTGAGAGTGTTACGAGATGACATCATCTCCGGGACATCTAGGCGTCCAGTATCTCCCTGTAGGTGAAGTATTGAGACGAATCCTTAAACATACGTGAAGACAAGGTGGTATTCAGAATAGTGGAATCACACATACTCATAAGGGTCCATACATATGCATGCGTTTATATCAATCTTTATCAACGTCATATTATCTCTTTTCCTAACAATTATTAAGGAAAAGCTAAAAACTTCTTAACGAAAACAGGAAAAGAAAATGTAACCGACCGCAGGCGATGCCTTTTCAGCATGAAACGAATCGTCCATTCTGCGACGCCGGTTTGCAATGATGAAGGTATCGAAGCCCACGGGAATGGGACCCGAACTCTGTGGTCTGAGGGAGACGAGGGCCACGAGGTCAGTACAGGTCGACAGAACTAAGAAAGGCTGAGTGAAAGTGAATAAAAGCTTTGTCACTTTAGCAAAATCATACACACAAAAAAACTCTGGTTGGTTGAGATTTTTGAAGTGATTGAGATCAAGCGTGAGTCTCTACAGTTCACGATGATCGTCCAAAGTAGGAGGGGGCTAAAAGGTGTGCAGTATATAAAACCTACATTTTTAACACAAGGTGACAGTCGCATAGGCCACTGCATGATCTTTGTTAACTTTTAACGTAACAAAAGATAATTTATGAAACATTAAATCTCACCGTTGAGGGAATCGTCCAAACTTTTAATCCCTTAAATCTTTCTTGCATGCCGTCAAGTCAAAAAGGCATTACAGAACCCCTGTAGAATACTGTAATTTCTCTGATTTACACTTTATAACAATCCTTCCGTGAGAATTCTTGTAGCCTGTCCATGTGTAAAACCAATCTGCAATCGTGAATAATTCAGAAATTATTCAGTTTATCTTTCGGATTTCCACTGGAGAACTCATTTTACTCACCTGAACTTCATAACGGTGCGTTTGAGAGAGTAATTGTACCCCGTCCACGTGTACCAATTGACACCGTCGGCGAAGGATCTGTGAGGGCCCCCCAGGTACCAGCCATTCAGGTTCGCATCGTGGCAGTTACCGTACCACCAAGCACCCTGGAAAGAGAGGGAAGCGTGGGCGGTGAACATGCTGTCACAACTGCATGTCTGTCGTCGATATGGCAGTGCCCAAAATCATGATAGGAAGGTTTATGTGGTTTTATTCATTGGCTTATCATCTGTAATCATCTAACTCGTGAGAGTCTCATTACATGATACTCATCCAAGAATAACTAAAATAATTATTACTTTATTTATCGTTAGTTTTAGTTTTAAACACCCATATTACATGTACTTCAGGACAGCATCGAAAACATAACCAGTTAGAGAGTTTCAGAAGGAACTGAATGCTCGTCAACACTTAATGTAACCATGAGTCACTCGGAAGGCGCATGACCCAGACTAGAAACTCTCCACACTTCCTCTGTCATTTACCCCCTGGACTGGATCTAATTTGTCATTCACCCCCACCTCACCCCTTACTGACACAATACACATGGAGTGAAGAAAATGTATTATATATACAATATATATAAATATATCTATATATATTTGCATAAGACAATTGAATATATCTATCAACATTCTACTTCGTTTTTAAGGAAATTCAAACAAAAATTGTAGAAACATTATCGAGGGAAGCTGTTGATTTCCCGAGTAGTAAACTTATTATATAACTAGTGGTATTAAGCTACACCGTTTGCATTATCTGACAAGCTCAATCTACCACATTAGCGTAGGTTTAACCCCCTACCATATAAATACCTACCCGAGGGCATATATTTACCTCTGGTTGAGTCACTGATCAAGAGCAAAGAAATCGAACTTAAAATCTGCTTCATCATCCTCATACGTTGCACAAGCGAAGATGAGATAAAGATAAGCAAAAATATCAGGTTTTGTATCAGGCAATTTTCTAATGTAATTTAATCTTTTATTTTTATACTCCATTCGTGGGTTTTCTCTACACCTGACAGCTTCCGAGACAGGTGCCTGTAAAACACATACATTACAATCATTACAATACCTTATATAACCGTGAACAGCTGCGTTCCACAAAATCTCCATCGCGATTGTCATTATCTACATCGAAGGTGGAGAATGGGAGTCCATTGTGCGAGTAGAGGGAGTCACCTGTGGGGAACCAGCAAACGAAAATAAGGGTCTCTTTGCCCTCAGTCTACAAGAAGCTAAGAGGAAACCGATGTCAGCTAAAGGCCTGGATAACCTTATTTTCAGGTTAATCCGAAAGACATGGATGTAATAATCGTACAAGCAAAATTTGTCTTTTTGCTTTTACAGTACACTATAGCCGGCGGGAAAAATGCTTCGTTAAAACTCACCTGCATTACCGAAGTAGACGTTCGCGTGGTACAGACGGTAGGCATCGCGCTCCGAGCCGACGCGGAAGCCGCGATACCTTGCGAACCTCTTGTTGCCCGACCAGTCCTCCAGCTCGATGTGGAGCTCGTAGTTGGTTTCGTTGTCCACGTTTGTGAGTGACCAGAGGAGGATGTTCCCTGCAAACACGTCGCGAGTCGGAGTCGAGTCGGGTAGTCGGGGTTTGGGAGGGAAGGAAGGGGTAAGGAGGTTAGTCTCTTGTCTGAGCGTCATCAGGACTCGTCAGGAGTAAACAGGATGAGGTTGGCGCCTCCGTCGGCTCTACGTAAAACTTGTAGAAGACGAAGTTTGGTAGTGAGAGTGAGACGTGGAAACTGGTTAGAAATGTAGTTATATGTTGAGCAAAAAGTCAGATAACGTAAGAAGGGGGATAGTGTGAGTCATTATAGGTACTGGTATTCGTCAAAGATAAAACGCAGAATTCTTTGTTCTCCTTTTTATATTGCGCACGCGGTTCTTTGTCATTGTGGATTTTTACTTAGTACGTTAAAATAAATACACGTTAACATAAGTACAATTTGTCTAATTGTTATACGACAGTGACAGTAGTGTCAGTCAGTGTCAGGGCGTGAATCAGTGGTGCTATTGTTCGTATCTGACATGTCATCACTGCCAGCATAGAGTTAATCACGTTTTGGGGAAGTGAGGATTACGTAAAGATATGAGTATCAGAGCTTCTTGTGGTCACGATGAAAATTTACGTCTAACACCAGTCTTATCTTCCTGTGACAATAGTCAGTCGACATTATTTTTTATCATTAGGTCTTATATTGACCCAGAATGTTGATAACTGAATAAATGTGATTTCTAGTAAAACAACTTTATACAGAGACCTACATTATTTGCAGCAGCATTTTTGTTATAATAATGATAAGATTAATCATTAATAATAAAATTATTAGGCTCTTTAGAAGCCTCTCAGTCATCTTGAGGTCAGTTGATAGTGCTTAATTGAATCATAAAAGCGAGTGTTTTTAAAATTACCATCGTTCAATTACCATCGTTCAATTCATATCACTTGTTACCAAGGGATGTGAATTATAAAGATTTTAGATTAAACAAATGTGGAAGTTATTTCCAGTGGTTAATTTCGTCATATCTCTTCAGATCATTCATGTCTTGTTAATGTGTTATTTGATAACTAGGCTCACTAAGTATTTTTGAAACTAGTTAAAATCTGGGTGATATTTAGAAGATATGCATTGTTAGGTGGTTTGTGAACAGCGTCTACATAGGTAACAAGTAATTTAGTCATTAGTAAATTGCTAATTATTGTAAATAAACAATTTGACGACTTGATAATAAATACCAATAGTTATCTACTTAATCTTAAAATAAACATCTTCAAGTTAATGGTAACAGCCCTTCATCAAACACATAATCACTCTGCAAGTAAGCAAGACTGGGTGATGATTAAGTCAGAGTAAAGTCAGTTGAATTATTCCTTTTTTGTCAGTCGAATTTCACTCATCTGGATTCTCGTCATTATTTCCATAACCATCAGATGGTATACGGAAATGTCAGCAAGACCTACATCAGTATGTCTTGTGTAATCAGTATAATGTCGCCACACCCGGGTCGACCTGATATGGTGAGATATCGCAAGATGTGCTGGGTAGTAACGTCATTTCTAATACGTTTGGTGTTAAAGTCCATAAAACTAATGTCATCACCAAAGTGTCATTCAAAGTCGGTCAGGTTAGTAAACTCGTTAAGTCATGAGTTCAGTCTTATTGATGTCTGATTTAACCCTTGCTTATAGCACCTGGTTCAAGTCCTGTCACTATGATCAGGTCGAATTTTCCCAGGTCAGAGTTTTATGTGGACGAACCTTATTCAAAGCTATGTAAAATTATATGCATGTCACACTCTTGCTCTTATCAGGTTATGGTAGGGTAATATATGTTGTAGTGGCAGGAGTCATAAACACTAGCTGATTCATGGGAAATCAATGGCTGACTCAGAGCCAAGATGCCAATATGTTTCAGCCTGCCATTAAGGAACTTTCTTTTCCTTCCTTTGGAGTCTTTCAATATAACTCAGACATTCACTAAAAGAAAATTACACACACACACAAACACACACTGAAACACATATATACATATATATCATGCCACATTGTAAAGCAAAATAATTCTGAACTGTAAATGACTGAACATACAATGTACCGACGCTAGAGACAGAAAAAAATAATGTGATTTCCTGGCTCTTACTTAGCGAGACGCTTACCGTGACAGCCAGATGGCACTCAGATTGTTGGGAATTTTTTGTGATGATGAACTGTCAACTTCAATTGCAACGGAAGCTATTTCCCACTCTCCTGACCGACTTTCACACGGGAATATTAGTTCTGTCGACTCTCCTCTGCTTGCATCTTCAACTTCCCATCATGAAAATAGTTATTTTGTCTAAAGATACTGTATGGATTATTCAGGCCTTCTTAGAAAATAAAATAGGCAAGTAACGCAAGCAAGAGAGAAAGCAGATGTAAAATGCACCTGTGCATCCAGTGTGCAAAGGGAATCGCACGATCCAGACTGGAAAGCAATCTACTTGTAGCGTAAAGCAAAACAATTTACGTCAACATATGGCGTATGCAGAAAGCTTTAGATGTTATGTGTCGGGTAATATATATATATATGTGTGTGCGTGTGTGTGTGTGTGTGTGTGTGTGTGTGTGTGTGTGTGTGTGTGTGTGTGTGTGTGTGTGTGTGTGTGTGTGTGTGTGTGTGTGTGTGTGTTTGTGTGTGTGTGTGTGTGTGTGTGTGCATATGCATATATATATATATATATATATATATATATATATATATATATATATATATATATATATGCATATGTATACATATATACACATATATACATGCATGTATGTATATGTGGTATATATATATACATATATATATCATATATATATATATATATATATATATATATATATATATATATATATATATATATATATATATAATATATATATATATATATATATATATATATATATATATATATATATATATATATATATATATACATGTTTATATATGTATATGAATATATATATATATATGTGTGTGTGTGTGTGGATAAAGAGGTAATAAGCTGGCATATGAAACAAAAAATGGTTATTACGTGTTAAGTCTAGCATTATTCAAATCACTCTCTCTTAGTCAAACCAAACCCGCACTAATGTGAGAATCATAGTTACCCTATCAATCACCGTTTTCTTTTCTTATCTTGCCGTTTTATCATTTCGTGAAAGTAACTGCTTTCTAAAACGTCGGGGTAGTTACTGCCTTAGCTCACTGCATCGCTGAGCTGCAAGCACTGGGAATTAAAGTTACTATGCTTGAATACACGTTTATCATCTCAATGTCAAACTCTTTATCTGCAATGACGTAAAACAGTGCGCAATGATAGAATCCCCCCTGATGACAATTCAACCAGTAGCGTTATAACTAACAGAATAACCCACTAAATCCAAAAGCAGTTTAGTGGAAAACAGTTATAACTGTTTCAGTCACAAGTCAGAAGTGTTGTCACGGACGGAACCAGTCGACCAATCGGCCCGCTAGGCAATTATAGATGTCAGTGTTACGTTCGCGAGCTCGATTTTACGCTCCTGCAACCCGGGAAGATATTACTTTAAACCGTTGCCTTTTACAACAGACCTCTTACTATGCTGTTTATACACCTTTAAGAGTCACGTCAGGGTTATGGTAACTGCATTCTCGGACAGTAACCTCAAAATATGCATATTTCTTCTTCACAGCTGGGAACACCGTCAAACAATCACATCCTCTTTTTAGACTCATAAACTAACGTTCTTAAACCCTAGTATTTTCGTTTGTCACTTACCCATCGCACGAGCATACTTTCTCTCACTCCCAGTCAGTGAAACCCCGTCAGTCCATCACACTCAACGCTCTCGCTCCTCTGTCAACGTCAATGGCTGCTGAACATCTTCGCTTTCTCTGCCTCATCGACTGCATCCGACATCGTTCATCTCCCACTCGAAATTTTCATCTAGGGAATGCAGGCTCATCTTTTCTAAATATCAGGATCATGTATGTGCGTGCGTATACAGCACACATATACACACACCATCTTCAAAACGGTATACATACATATATATATGTATATATATATTTATATATATGCATAATACACACACACACACACACATATATATACGTACACACAGACACACACACACACACATGTATAAGTGTGTGTGTGTGTGTGTGTGTACACCATACTTTCTCTTCTGACATAGACGAAACTTTCTGACACTTGCATTACAGCACCAAACAATGATCTGGTGAAACCGAAACCTTATTTTGGTTTGCGAAGGAAACAAAATCAATCTTAGATTTTCTTTTCAGATCATGTATACCAGCTTCATTCCACTCATCTGCCCAACTGAGCCAATTCTTTTCCGTATCAATTCTGGCACGCAGCCAAGGAGCGCCGAGTGACTATTTTCCGCCACTTTAATGAATCAGCCTCGTTTGCTCAGAGTGGTGCCGAGTGAGTCACCTGGTCCGGGTCCCTACTTACTGCTCCTCCCCACGTCTGTTCCCCTTCCTGTCGAATTGACTTGTAGATAAGGAGTGAAGGGAAAGGCGCCTGAGTAGGAGTTTTATCCGGTGAAAAGTTTTTTTTATTTGCTCCCTTTCCTTCTCTAGTATTTATTATGTTATGTTTTTTTTTTTTTAACCATCATGTTTTGCAGTGAGATGTGAGGCCCGGGAGATGGAATGGAGGTCCCAGGGAAGAAGTAATCCCTGCACCTCTCTTTCATAAAGACTCCCTGACACGGAAGAGGAGAGATAAAACGGGGAAGAGTTTTATTGCTGTTCGTGCCGTTAGTCTAAGATATTCGCAGTTCCTTTCTGCTTTTATACTACGTATATGTTTATTTCTATAATTCTATTACACATGTATTGGTCAACTCCATGATTTACTTGTCACTAAGTATATTTGCTTGACGTTATCATTTTCCATGTCCGAGTGTAGCATTTAAAGGTCAGTTTGTCATTTGTTTGTCTATCAGCTAATCACCATATTACAAGCTTATCTCTTATTCAGTATATGAAATGCTCATTAGTATATGAGT